GGGAGGGGGGGGGGTTAATTTTTAGATAAATTTTTGCGTACGTACTTATTGAATGGCCCCTAAACACTTTATCGGACTTGTCATGATAAGGACCAAGGTATTTTATTTTATACAAGATTTTTCAGATTCATGTAGGACATTAAAAGAAAGACAAATATGAAAATAATTTTAATATTATAAGTAAGGTTGTAGAATAATTTTAGTTTATATAAACAATGTATATGCATCTATTACTATATAACGGCTTTGAATTAATTGAATGTATGCCTAAAGTGGTGTCGATTTGCATATTTTGAGTGCAAAGTGCAGTTCAATCAGTTATGAGCTATCCGTGTCCGATATACCTTTCACAAATATAGTTACATTTGTTTGGTGGTTTATAGGTTAAAAAGTATATGTTATTTGAAAATATGGTTTACTACAGGCTTAATGACAAACGATTAGCCCATAAACGACCAAACAAATGTAACTATATTTGTGAAAGGTATATGGGACACGGATAGCTCACAACTGAGTTGAATGCTATGAAAAGCTAACACAGAGTTGTGTCGGCCATCCAATGCCTCATTCATAAACCCATTGAACGCTTGCCTCTCAATGAGTGACGGGTGGAGTGAATGCTGCCATTGGATGGCCGCTCACTGTATGACTCAATCACTCGTTCAGTTCATGTGAATCATTGAAAAACGGTTTTTGTGAACAAAAAGCAGTCATTGTTTGCCATTATCTTGATCACCGCAACTGATCCGCACATGTCTTCAACGCTGTATATCCCGAGAGAGAGGGCCAACACGTGCGCGAAGACACCATCGGCTGCGAGTGCACGCAAGCGGGTGTCGACGCTGAAGGAGCGGATCAGTTGTCTGTACGACAACCACGTGATGGCGGACGTGGTCTTCACGTGTCGCTCGGAGGAGACACTAATGGCCCACAAAGTGATCCTCTCGTCGGCCTCGAAGGTCTTCCACCAGCTGTTCAACTCAGGCGTCAATCGATGCGCTCTGAAGGTGTCGACTGAAGACAACATGCATTACATTGAACTCAAAGACTGCGATCTCGAGCACATCCAACCGGTGATCAAATACATGTATACCGACGACATCGGCGACATCACCGACAAGAATGTGGCGAACGTTATCTATTGGTCCAAGAAGTTGAAGGTTCACGCGTTGATCGACACGTGTGTCCGCTATCTGGAGCTCAACATTAATAGCGATAATTGTCTGAAATGGTGGCAAACGCTGTCCACTCGACTGCCCGATGAGACCCAACTCATCGACAAATGTCTTCATGTGGTTGCCGTCAACGCCAGGAATATATTGAAAGGCAAAGACATTATCAATGTATCGGCCGTTGAGTTGACGGCACTGCTCGAGA